TTATAGCTAAAGATAGTTGAAAGTTCAACTTCTGGTCCTGAAATTTGTTGAACTTAGAAAAAAATATTTGAAAATATGTATATTTCTCCAAAAAAATTTAACCCTACTTTGAGTATAGAGGATTTTTTTTATTTTTTATTAGTATAGAGTTCAAATGTAGGGAATTTCTCCTCTTCATGTTATCAAATTAGAAGTGAAATCCAAAAAAGAAAAAAAAAAGAGTGATACGTTCAAACAGAAATATAAACCAAGAGAAAAACAAGAAGTAGAAATGATATAGTTAAAAAGAATCATAGCAACATTCTTCCACATAATTATGAACGTAAAATTAACAAATTTGGACTGTTTTTTTAGAGCCATGGAACTGAATTACTGTTACCTTAAACAACTCATTTAATGGAAGGCAGAAAATTAAAAAAAGCTACCAATTACTGATACAAAGCCTAACATATATTCTATACTTAGAATTTTTCCACAACGCCCAAAATTAAGATTTGAAACCAATAAAAAACTTTATTCCAACTTTCTAAATATGGTTTTCTCATTAAACATGAATAAATAGGGCTTCTGATCATGAATCAAAAAATCCAAGAAAATCCCTCTCCTTTCTTTTGCAGCTAAAGGAAAAAAAAGGACATCTGTAAAAGGAAAACCCTAGCTTTGGAAGCAACTTTAAGAATATATTATACTTTATGGCAATGGCTAGAAGTTTTAAGCTCCTTCAAACCCTTTTCTTAGTATTTGCTTGGCAGTCCTGTGGGAAGGTGTCTGCCGCTCTCGATACCAACTCCGACGTGGTGAATGATCTCGATGCTGTTTTGGGCAGCGGTGGTAGCAGCCGCGGCAAGGTTTTTGATGTTAGAAAATATGGAGCAAAAGCGAATGGAAAGACCGATGATGTTCAGGTAATGAAAATTAAATATCAAACAGTAAAGTTATATATTTTAAGAAAAAATAAAAATAAAAATAAAATACTTTAATTTGTTTAATTACACCTTCATAAACTCTAAATCCTCTGGATGAAAGATAGGTATAAGAACGGCGGAAAGCTGTTTAATAAAAAAATCTAGTTCCTAACTTAAATAATAAAATTTTGTAATTCGGTTTAAGTTTCATCCAAACAAATTAATCAGACTGCTAATTAATGTTTGATTAATTTTACCACACAGGCATTCATGACAGCGTGGATTGCAGCCTGTCGGAATACCAGCGGTCCGGCGACGCTTCTGATTCCCAGCGGCAGATTTCTGGTGGGTCCGCTGGTATTTGCCGGTCCATGCCGAAGCTCGCCGATCACCGTCGAAATTCAGGGAACTATAAAAGCGACAACCGATATCAGCGAATATTCTTCCCCAGAATGGTTCTCTATCGAAGATATCAAAAACTTCATCCTCACCGGCGCCGGCGTCTTCGACGGTCAAGGGGCCGCCGCCTGGCCCTACAACAATTGCAAGAAGGACATCTCCTGCCAAAGTCTTCCAATTGTAAACTAAAAATCTCTAACACCAATCACCTCTCCATTTTCGCTAATTATATTGAAATAATCATGATTAATTAATAGATTTCTTTCTTCTTTTTTTTTAGTCGATTAAATTCTCGAGATTGAACCATACGATTGTGGATGGGCTGACTTCTGTTAACAGCAAAGGTTTCCACACCTCTGTTTTCGACTGCTATAACTTCACGGCGATCAACATGAAGATAAGGGCCCCGGGAAACAGCCCCAACACCGACGGTATGCACCTCAGCACCTCGAAATTGGTCACCATTTCTGATAGCGTCATCGGCACCGGTGACGACTGCATCTCCATCGGCCACAGCTGTGAAAAAGTCACCGTCACCAACGTCACCTGCGGCCCCGGACATGGCCTCAGGTAAAACATAACCTAATTGAGATGACTTTCAAATTTGATTTAAGCACGTATTCGACAATATTACCTTCTTTTCAAGGTGGGATCCTTAACAACGATATAATATTTAGTGTGGGCAGTCTGGGCAAGTACCCAAAGGAGAAAAGCGTGGTCGGTGTTCTAGTGAAGAACTGCACCATATTCAACACCACCAACGGTGCTAGAATCAAGACATGGGCGGGGACGGTGTCAGGGTCGGCAACGGAAATTATCTTCGAAGACATCATCATGAGAAACGTCAAGAACCCCATAATCATCGACCAAACCTACGGGACAAAGCAAAAAAAGGTAACACAAAACACAACATATAATTATAATCTATAATCTATCTTCGCGCTTAAACAACCTTAACTAAAACTCGATGATTAATCTCTAACTTTCAGGAATCCAAGTGGCAGATCAGCGACGTTCACTTCAAGAACATTCGCGGTACGTCGACGACAAATGTGGCGGTGTTGTTGGAGTGCAGCGCATTGTTTCCATGCGAGGGGGTCGAGCTAAAAGACATTAACTTGGCTTACAGCGGCACCAACTCGAGAAACACTACCATCGTCTCGTCGTGTTTGAATGCCAAGATAGCTACTTCTGGGGTGCAGATCCCTCCTCCTTGTGATGTATAATGATCTCTACCATTTAAAATTAAGTTGTCCATTTTCCAAGGATGAATGAAGAATGTCACCATATGAAACTCTTTTTCATTCCCACTCCAAAAAATGGGAGTTTATAAATTTATTAATCTATGTTGAATTGGGACCGTATTTTACTTCCTTGAGCAATATTTGTCTACAAAAGCTCGACTTGTTATACATACAAAGTCAACAAGGGTTCCCGTGGAAAGAAAAAGAATCATAATCCGTGTATAAGAAAGTTTTAAATATCAAAATTAACAAACTAAGGAAACATGAAAAAGATAATGCACTATAATTAATGGGTTGGTAAATCCACACGAACAGAAATTATTTGAAAATGATCCTTCTATTTTATGTTTTTAGTGTTTGGCTTTTGAAAAACATGATAATCAATTTATTTTTTTTAAACGATTTTGCAAAGAAAATTAGTTTTTAAATGTAGATTTATATTTTTAAAAATCTCCCTCTAATGCTTAGATTTTTCTCTTTAAAACATTTATATTTATCTCTCTAAAATTTTTCATTTCTCCAAGATTTACTATTATTTCCTTCTCTATCAAAAATTTTCATCTTTATCTAACATATCATTCTTATTCTTCTCTACCTAAAAATTTAATATGGTCGAAAAATTCTCTCTAAAATTTTGCATTTTATAACTTTTATTTCTCTGAGTAAATATATCTTCAACTTTTCTCTCTCTAATTTTATTTTTCAATTTTCTTTTACTATAATTTTTATTTATCTTTTAATTTATTTATTTTTCTCTCACCACGGATATCTTGAATTTTTGGTCTATCTATTTTTTCTCTAACATATTTTTACTCTCAACTTTACTGTAAAAATTTTAACTTTGCTCACACTAAAATTTTTCTCTAAATCTTTTTATTTGACTCTCTAAATTTATTCTCTTTAAAATTTCTCTTGAATTTTTTTTATCTCCTAAATTTTTATTTTCATGTTTATTTAGCATATTTTTTCAACTCTTTATCTTTTCAGAAATATAAAACAAAAAATGTTCATCTAATATGTTTGGTTTTTGAAAAAAAAAATAGTTATCAAACCTACATTGTTTTTGTTTTTGTTTTTTTTTTAAAACTGAAAACTAAAAATAAAAAGACCAAAATTAAAAACAGAAATTATATTATCCTAACGACCCCAAATTATTGATAAAAAATGGGAACAATCAAGAACTCTTTAATCAATTTCTTCCATTAAGTTAAAAGAGTTTGTCCGGTTGTATATTTTTCTAAGCTCCTGAGTCCTGACAAATTTTTTTCTCAATTTACAATTTTTTTTTTCAATAAATGAGCAATCGCCCTCAATTTCCCGTTGTTATAATTTTTTCTTTTATAATTTATATTAATATATATATATATATATATATATATATATATATATATATATATTAAGCGAGTAACGGAAATTGAGGACAGGGAACGCCCCAAAACTGAAATGGGAAAATTTCCTCCCTCCCCCGGAAAAAAAATGACACCTCTATTTTTAACTTGATTTTCAATTATTTAATCCTATATTAATTTTAAAATATAACACATTTGAATAGAAAAAAATATTTTTAAAAAATAGTTAAAATTCATTTATGAATTTGAGGTAAATTTTAGTCTAGAAACTTAGCACTAGTCCAAAGCTTAGAATAAGTCTCCTCTTAATTAGCATAGATTTTGTCTTTTACTTTTATATTAAATTAATAATCTCAACGTAAAGATGAGTTGTAAGTTCGATCTCTCACTCCCATATACTGGTAAAAAATAAAAAATAAAAATAAAAATCTCTCCAACAAAACTATATGCTTAACCCAAACAATTTTGCTATGAATCAAAATTTGGATTTCACTTTTCACTTGGAACTATAGGCCATTAGCCAAAAAAAAGTAGGATGGATTGAACTACAGTCCTAAGAAAATTAGGGGTACAACTCAAACTTATTAAAATGTGGGCACAACCCAAAATTATTAAAATGTGTGCAGTTTCCTGACCATGGATAGGTTGTGAGACTTTGCACTTCAAATGTCATAATAAGTATGTATTTTTAAATATAGCAGAGGAAGTCTGAAATTTTGTGAAAATATGTTAACATAAAGGAATTATTAAAAAAAAAAAAAGAAAAAAAATATCTCTCATCTTTGTCATTTATTTCAAAAATATCTCTTATCCCTATTAAAATGTTTCAATACTTACCTTTAGACCCCTAATAAAGGTTTAAATTTTTTTCAGCAAATATTCGTAAATATTTTGACGAAAATAACCATGGATCCACAATTGATCACGTTAAATTTCATATTAATTAACTTAATTATCACATCATTCCAAATTTTATGGATTTTCTTAATTTAACAAAAAAAAAAAGAAAAAGTTGTAATATTTTTTGTTATGAAATTTCTCTCATTTTTAAAATGTAATTATTATTATTATATTCTCCACAAAAGAGATCCAAATTTTCCGATAGTCGTCTCCTCCACTCTGTTCGCCGCAAATACCAAGCAAGCTCAATAATTACATCAATGGCGTCGCCATCTTCTTACGCCGTAACTTTCTTTTCTTCTTCTTCTTCCTCCGATGAGGACGAAGATTCATCCGTCGTCCACTCCGCCAGCCACGTGGCTTCGTCGTCGTGAATCCCAATTGAAGAGCCCTCCTCTGCAACTTTTGGGATTTTTTCATATTTTTCATAATCTGCCCTGTACTCTTCATCTTGCTCTTCTTCATAAATAATAACCACCATTTTCTCGTCCTCCGGCGTTCCATTTTCGTTGCAATCGGAGTCTCCTACTGACACGTGGTTGACGGACGCCGTCGTCATCTCCGCCGTCGGTTTATGGAAGGCTTTCTTCTTTGACATTTCAGGCGCCGTGCGGCTGCGGAACAAACCCTCCAAAGGTTAAATGAATATGCCAAACAAAAATATTAATCCGTAAATTTGGTGCTTCCCATTTGAAAGTTACACTTTTTTTTTTAATTTTAATTATTTTGTTAAAGAAATGAGTTCGAGGTCGTGAATTCAATCTCTAGAATTTAGGAATTAAATTTTTCAAGTTCCAATTTGGTAGCAAAGAATTTAGAAATGGTTCCTAAACCAGGAAAAAAAGTAATTAAAAAATTGTAACCCTCCAATAATTTCTCATACAACAAACAAAATTTGTAAAATTTAACCAAATTATAGACAACAAAATGAAACCAAAATCTTGATGGTAGAGACCAACTTCGTAATTTTTTTTTCCTTCCTGGAAATGAACAAACTTTGTAATTTAGTTTAACTACAAAATGCCAAATCTGCAGTACTTAAAATTTTTAATTAGATGGTAAATTTAGCAAATTCCTAAATGTCCATATCATTCAACCCTATTAATATTGAGTCAAATAAATAAATCTTTAATAGATATAAAATTAAAAAGATGAGAATTTTATTAACAAAATAATAATGAAAGTTGAGGATTCTTTTCTAAGTTTCTAACCATGAACTGATGAAATCAGTGGACGAAGACTGGAGAAGAAGCCGCAGCCCTTCCATCTGCGGAGGCTCGCCGCCGCAGCGGGCGGCGCTTTGGCCAGAGCCACCGTCATCTTTACTCCTCTCGGCGGATCTGATCTTCCTGTTCCTCTTGAACGTGGAAGCGGCGAGTAAGCAGGCGAAAGCGAAGGCTCCACCCCAGGCCACGAGGCTCCCAACGGCGCCGTTTTGGGCGATACGAATCTGGGTTTGATTCTTCTTTGTCGTTGTTGTTGTTTTTGTTTCGTCGTCGGACGCCATTGATATTTGTTGTGGAAGATGGAGGCGGTTCTAAGTGAGAGGCTAAATCGGAGATTTTTTTTTTGAAACTTTTTGAAGATACACTTAAAAAAGTGTATCAAGTTCGTTACTTGTAAACTGATCAACCCCATTTATAAAGCAAGGTTTCTAGTGCTTTCCTAAGATTTGTTTTTAGATTAAAACCAATCACTTTTCATCTATAAAAATTTAAATTTAATTTCGACTCGAACTTAGGGATCAATTAGAAATTAAATTATAATATTTTAAAAAAAGAACTCAAACTTTTAAGAATCAAACATTAGGCCTAAATAAAAATTTTGAGGATTAAAAGTGATAGGTTTTGAAAATTGAGATAAAATAGAAACTATGTCCAAAATCTAAGGATGCAACTGTATTTTACCTATTTCTTTTTTCTAATAAAATTTTGTTTTCTTCCAAGAAGGTACTTTATAAATGAGATTATTTTTGAAGCTTAATTGAAAATAATTTACCAAGAAACAAATAAATCATCCCCACCTCGTATTTCTATGACATTGTTATTTTCTTGAAAAGTAAAATAGTATGGTATTGTGTAATGGATCTGTGCCTTATCATTTTACAATTTCTAATTGATGTGAGGTTATGTGTTCCTACCAAAATAAAATTTCTCTCAGATAGTGGTACATCTCCTATTGTGGTAAATGTTGGGGGCAAATATATAACATATCAAGTGACAAGATATGATCAAACTCTAAAGCTCATCTACCATCAAGCTTCCAAGCTCTTACCATCGAGCTTCCAAGTTCATCTACTGCTATTGGAGGTAGATTTCAGCATACACGTGGTAGGAGGCGAGTGTATATGAAATGTGACACATGGCTCCTAGATTTCGCAGAAAACTATCCCGTGTGCACGTTTGGGCTCATCCATTTGACTGTGCCGAACCGCTTCGATGGCCGAGCCGAACATGCATGTTCATAATCTCGTTCCCATATCACTGGTTGAACTTATTAGCTTACCTCAGCTCGGGTATACCTCCGACACCCTCCACGACAACACGCCGCGTTTCACGATAACCTTAAAGAGCCGTTGAGGCCTTGTCGGGAATGCTGTCGGGGTTTTCGCCTATAAATAGAATCATTCCGTTCATTTAGATGTACGAGAACATTTCGATTCTCTCTCAATTTAGTTCGGACTTTCACTGACTTTAACATCAGAGTGCTTACTCTGTTTTGCAGGTCTTCTACGTGATATTCGGAGTTCACCATCCAGCTCATCCAATCCGAACCGACGTTCGCAGAGTTGGTCAATTTCTTGATTCAACAATCGCCAAGCTCCCAAGCTCATCCATCGTCAAGCTCCTAAGCTCATCCATGGCCGAGCTACTAAGTTCATCTACTACTAAGCTACTAAGCTCATCCACCGCCAAACTTTTAAGCTCATCCATGGCTGAGCTACTAAGTTCATCTACTACTGAGCTACTAAGCTCATCTACTACAAAGCTACCAAGCTCATCCATATGAAAGGATGAATAGCCGACATCAGTCATTACTGACCTATGGTTCGACAATTTGTAACCGTCCAACTGCCTTGTCTTAAGGGTCATAATAGACTTGTCCTTTCACTTGACTTATAAAAAGACACTCATGCCTCTGACCCAAGTATGCAAATTTTCTCAAGAAACGACCTTGACTTGATTGTCGGAGTGTTTATTTCCTTTTTGCAGGTCTTACTTTGTATGAGCTCGCACCTCATTAGCTCAACCAGTTGCCATGTGACCAACCTCGATCAAAGCTCGGTAGAATCCTGCATCAACCCAGTACCCTTAACAATCTTCCCCTTGGATCGAATAAAAATCCAACTATGTAGTTAAGTCCAAAGATGACTTGGAATACCATTAATATTTTCAAAAGTATACAATAATCTACCCTTTTAATTTAAATCTATGTAGTTTTACTTTCGATATTACACAAACAAATCCATGTAGTTTTACTTTCTATATCACTCAAACGAATCTCATATCAATAGAAATATTGTACATTACTGTTATACAAAGGACAAATGACAAAGCAATGAGAAGAGAATCAAAGAGACTACCAGACGAACCGAACGAACCGACGTACCTTGGGCCAAGCCCGACACTCGCCCTCTTCTAATCTTCATGCACCATGGGCCCTGCAGCAATGAATTAGGGCACATTTATAAAGATCTATAACTTTCGAGCGACTATAAGTAGGCCATGTACCCTAACCCTAACGTAAGCTGAATTCTACACTTGAGTTCCATTGCTCAACTACTCTCTTTGCTAACTTAGGCATCGGATCCCGTGTGACAAGAGTCACATCGGTCTAGTTGTGTTCGATTTTGCAGGTTTTCGATTCCCTGATAGTCGAGTTTGGTGCGAGCCACGGAAGGAACCGAGAGAGCATATTCTACGCATCAACAATTGGCACCGTCTGTGGGGACGAAACAAGTCGTACAGTCGAATAGCATGACGCTGGAAAGAAGTCCATGATGCTCTGACGACGACAGCCATGCAAAGAAGAAGTTAGATTTGGATGACCCCCAGATATGAGGACTCGAGGGCGAGACGGGATTGAGTCGACAAAACTTGGAATGCCAAGAAGGGCCGCCTGAGGTACCTACAACAACAGTCCCTGGACAACATCAAAGTCAGTTCGCAGCCTTGGAAAAAAAGGTAGAGAGCATGTGTCGACGCATGACTCAGCTACTTCAACAACTACAACAACGAGAGACCAGCGAGGTACCCCTCGTCAGAGACCCCCCAAATGGAAAATGCCCAGTTGAGAGTGAGACTGAAGAATCAACGGACAATGCAGGGAGAAAGCTGAGGCTAGGAGGGAATATCAAACGACAAACTCGGATTTTCAACTCCTGAGGCCAGCAAAAGGG